TCAAGGTGCGCACGGACCATTCGTCTCTAAAGTGGCTACTCGAGGCGAAGACTGGTCGCTTGCAGCGTTGGGCCTTACGTTTGAGTGAGTTCGGTCAGTTCGAGATTGTTCATCGTTCTGGTTCCTCACACACAAACGTTGATGCGTTCACGCGATCCTTTGCCGCGTCCGAAGCACTACCTGATTGCGCTTTCGTACATGCAATCTCCTATGCTCTTTCTCTAGCTCCCTCTGATTCTTCCCTCAAGTCGGCACAGTCACAGTGCAAGTCCTGCGCTGCCTTAGTGCGCTCGAAGAAGGCTATCCTTCGCGATGGCATCATTGGCCTTGGTCGCCGCCACCGCTGGCGCCCGGTGCTACCTGTCAGCGTCGCCGTCGACGTCGCGAAAAGGTTACACGATAGTGTTCTAGGAGCACACATGGGAGCTCGTAAGCTGTTGAGTGCCTTAAGTCGCAAGTACATCCTACCTAATGGCATCTCTGCTTGCGAGAGAGCAGTTCAAGGCTGCCACTCGTGCATGCAGCGGAAACCACCGCAGAAGAAGCTCGGCAAGATGCGAAGTACACCCCCGTCCACCCCATGGAGCACTGTCGCCCTAGACTTCTGTGGCCCGTACCCCACTAGCGAGTCCGGTATGCGCTACGTGCTGGTGATTACCGACCAATTTACGAAGTGGGTCGAGCTGATTCCCACCAAGGATCAGTTGTCCTTGACGGTTGTGCAAGTATTCTATGAGCGTATCATCTGCAGACACGGATGCCCCCTTCGAGTCCTTAGCGACAACGGCCCACAGTTCCGTTCGGCGCTCGTGGCCCTTCTATGCCAATACTTTGGTATGCAGAAGATCTTCTCCTCTGCGTATTATCCACAAGGTGATGGCTATGCGGAGCGGATGATGCGTACTCTCAACAACTCGTTGGCCTCTCTTTGTAAGAAGGACACCTCTAATTGGGACCGATACGTGCCCGGTGTTATGTTCGCGTACAACTCTACCGAGCATGAAGCAACACATCATAGCGCTTTCGAGCTCAATACCGGTCGTATTGCCCGTTGGCCGGGTGAACGGATTGACAACACTAAAGCCAGCCCAAGTGCGAC